AAATATATTACAGTATTGATGAATTTTTGAATGATGGTAATTTTTTTAATTCGTAAGTATTATGTTTTATAAAATAACGCAAATAATTATTTCTAAGAATCTTTGTATGTTTTTAGTATTTTAGGTAGCCTACTTATTATGATATATTATGATTATATTGACAACTAGCTGTAACCCGCCGGCTTTGCCCCGTTTAACTTCTTAATTTTCAAGATTATCTTGTTCGCATGGCTCAATCACGTCCTGGTTAGAGTTTGTTCGCTAGCTCACTCACCTTTAGGTTGGAGCTCGTTCGCTGCGCTCACTTGCCTTCAGGTTAGCTCGTTCGCTACGCTCACTCGCCTCCAAGTTGAAGTTCGTTCGCTACGCTCACTCACCTTTTGGTTGCAAATTAGCTGTTGTCATAAATGTAAAAGAAATAATAGTGCTGCACCCTGTTGGTAATCCTTGTAACTTTAATGCTATTGAACATCATAGAACAGAACCAACTTGTTTAATTGAAACAGCTGTTAAGATTCAATAATTCTATTTCTCATAAGGTTAACATGGGAAACTCCAGAGCCACTGGGGCGGAGCCCGAAAGGATTTTTGAAATAAGAATATGCCTATATGTTAATCGGGAATGTGAGCTATCATCATGCCAAATTTCAGCCCAATCCGACCAGTATTTTTTGCGTTCACTTGTCACAAACATCCAAACTTTCTCATTTATAATATTATAGTAGGATGTCACCTGTTTTTGTAGCTTTTGCTATGTAATCTGTGAAACGTTTATGTGACAATAAAGATATATTTATTTATTTATATTTATTTATCCGAATCGGTCTAATTCCCATTTGACTCGTCTATTACTCGTCTAACCTGATTATATCTTCTGCAAAACAAAGGAGTTCTGTAGCGTTACCATAATCTTTTATGTTTATTCTTCAGATTAATAAGGGACAGTATGTATCGAGGAATTGAGGAAAACTATTTTTAGGCTTAAACTGACGAGTTGCTTGTTCTACTGAGAGACGAATGGAAGTGACAAACAAATCGATAGCCTCGTCAATTTGGGTTTTATCTTTTAGTTGGCGAGGAAGGAGAAAATTGTCGTGAAAGCATTCTTTAAACATTTCCCAGTCGATTACTCCTTTAATAAGTTTTTCGTTTGGAAGTTCTATTTCAGGTGTTTAGTCAAATGAAAGAATGACTGGATGATCGGAATCAAAGTCAATTAGTGGTGTCATATGTGTTGGGCGAGACATATTTTTAAATAATCCAATATCTAAAATGCCTGGTCTGACATTGTAGTTAAATGAATTCATTTGGGGCAACAATTGATATGCCGTAGTCGTTAGTAGTGACTAAGAGTAGTCTTCCATTAGGATTTGTCAAGCTTCATGCTTACAGCTTAGAACGCCTAGTATTTTAGTAGGTTTATTATCTGGAACAATTTCTATTTTAACCGCAATGGCAACTCCACTAGTCCCTCATCCCTGTCCGATCTGTAAACGAGATAACCTGGGATTGTACATTTTTCTGTTGATATCAGATGGGTTTCTGTTTCTGTGACACGTGCGATATCAATTTTATTTTGAGGTAGAAAAACAATGAATAAAGAACATTTTTCCTTTTCCTACGCACAGTAAAGCTTTCTGTAGGTCTATTTATTAATTTACAAAATTTGTTTGGCTATTAATTTAGCCCACATTGAACTCAAAGTCATTTCTTAATAAAGATCATTCTTAACTTGTTTTTTTATTTATGTCTAATGAGGTAAGTCTTTATCTTATATATTACTAGGTGAAACCCGTCATCAAATCAAATCAAATCAATCTTTATTTGCACAAAACATTTACATGATTACACATTGTAACCTTAAATAGGTGCATCGTCAATACAATATTTTTTTAATTATCACATAGAGACAATACTCATTCAATACTAAATTAAACAAATTAAATTTTAGTCAAGATGGCGTCTGCCTGCAGAATCCCAGTATTCATTAAATTCTGAAACTTTGTATATGGACAAATCTATCAAAAACTGTTTCAAAAACCTTCTAAAATTAGTTAAGATAAGATTTTTTACATGTTCAGGTTAAACATTCTTTTACCAACCTCTAAAGTTGAATTAATAGTTCTTTGAAAATTACATTGGTTGATTCTTAAATGTTTTTTGTCTTGTTCCATAGTTATGAACAGAACTATTAGTTTTAAACTGATCTAAATCAATTAAAATATACACTAAACATTAAAAAACGCAGATAAAATAGCAGATAAAACGTCTAAACTAACAATTGACTTAAGTCTTCTAATAATAAAAGTTGCTTTGGAAATTTTATTGCACAGGTAACTTATGTGATTGTCCCATTTTAACACTATCTGAGTCATCAAACACTCTCCAAACATGTGTTTTTAGAGACAGCGAAACACCTCAGACCCCTTCCTCCTACTGATAAATGGGCATTGATAGCTATACAATCACTAGCCGTAATCCTGTTAGACAAATTACAAAGGGGCTGCCGACTGGACCAGTAGAAGTGCAGATTAAGGCCCCGGGTACGATACGAGCGGCGAGCGGCGAGCGGTGAGCGGCGAGCGGCATGAGCGGCGCCGCTCTGACATCGGGTCTCATTTGGTTGCGTGTAAATTTGTTGAGGGTGGCCACGATACGTCTGAGCGGCGAGCGGTGGTGAGCGGCACCGCTCAGCGCCGCTCATGGTTCCAAGTCAAAACCGATTTTCGCGAAAACGCCGCTCGCCGCTCAGGTGATCCATGCTTCAGTTCGGCCTAAAATGACAGGGAAACAGCAGAAAACATGCGATACGGGTCGATACGTGAGGTGCAGTCCAGGTAATGTTTGTGGAATGACCAGCAAGGAAGTTTTAAAACACTTCAGTCTCCAGAAAAGTATGGAAAACATTATGGTTAAGGTTTTTCTAAAACCTACGTTTTTCTTTAAAGGCAAACCATTGTCAGATAGCAACCACAGTTGCAATAGGTCTTGCAGGTAAGCATAGTTTACCATTTTATACTAAACTAACTCATACAACTTGGGAAATTTCATGAGCGTTACAAAAGTGCCGCTTGTATCGTAGCCACCACCGCCGCTTACGTGCCGCTCAGGTTGCCGCTCGCCGCTTGCCGCTCACCGCTCGCCGCTCGTATCGTACCCGAGGCCTAAGAGACCTTACTTGAGACCGGGACCAGTAGAAGTAGCGTACCTGGCTTACGGGACCAGTTGAGTCTGCCCCAGACACTCAAGGTCATAGATCCTCCCCCTCCCCTCCTGCACCACCCGTTTGCTCCAATTGCTAACAAAATTGTGTAACGAAACAAGGTAGTAGTGGACAAAAATATATATTTCTTTATTCAAAAACATAACTATTACAGATTATTTTGAAAGAAAGTAATTCATGGTAGTTTGTGTCTTGTAAATATTTTTTTTATAAAAAAGTCATTTTACTGTTGTAAAATACAAAAATACTGACTAGAGTTAGAGATTAAATTTAACAGCTATTATAAAAACTTATTTTTATGATAAAATAGAATTGGGATATCAAAATAATTATTACGCTAGTAGGCTAATAAATGAAAGTCGTAAAGGATTGAAGTGATAAAACTCGGAGTTCTTGGAAGTACTTGAGTACAATAATTATTGTCGTGATAAAATATTAATGTATTTGGGACTGCTAATGGCTTTTTTATTGCATCACTATCCTAGTAATAAATTATGAAGATCGTAAACAAACATCTGATAAGCCTTTTATGTGCTAGGAACCAACTGCCGTTGACTAGGATAGTAAACTGAAAGTAGTTTATTATTATAATAGGTTGTACCAAACCGATTTTGTACGATTTTGTACCGCTGTACCGAACCCGATGACGGTAATTAAGCTTGTCGCAGACCCCTAAGAACAACTAATAGTTTGGTTAAAATTTCTATTGACAAAATTAGCTAATTTTCTAAGTGAAATAACAATGATGCGAAAACTGCCCAAAGTTAAGTTATACAACTACTCTTTATACAACTACTCTTGCAACAAAGATTTTGACCAGCATTTCAATATTGGTGGTAAATAAGTTAGCCTACCAAATATGGAATATGCATAACAAACATTGTATCATTTTGTACCATCAACATTTTAGGGGTGGGCTCAGAACTCCACGACCGATTTGGTGGTATGGTCTTGACGAGTTTGGGGGAGGGGATTTGGGCCATAAGCCTTGGGGGGGATGGACACCCCTGCACTTACGTTCACACATACACTCTATCTACCAGCTATAAAGTATATTATCTCAACATTTACTATCAAACACATACACACATATGCCAAATATCATGTAACGCAACAATATTAGTTTTTATTTTATCGCCACAACTAGGTCTTATTTAGTTCTTTGAATTCCACCTACTTCATTTTGCCATGTAGTACTTGAAGAACGTGATTAAATTACAGTATTCAGAGTCTGACAAAATACTTCTTTAGATAAGCTTAGTATCCAAGGATAATTTCTAGTTACGAAAATATTAAAATATTATGTTCTCAATAAAAGCATGAATTTAAAATAGAATTTCCTTTTGTTTCGTTTCCCATATTTTATGCGCACCCTACTGAGTAATCTGCTGATCTGCTTGGCCATTGCTTTGCAGTTGTCTGCTAAATACACATCACCTCACCAATGCTTTACACCACAACAACATGACACAACTTACAATACAGTAGTTCGTATGAATGGCTAGATATAAACAGTTGTTTGACACAGTTGTCCTACTTTGGAAAATGTAAATAAAACATTACTAAGTGAGAAGACAAAACTTCTAACAAGAAAACAACATTTTTTTATGTCGAGTAGAGGTTCCTTCGGGCTGTAAGCCCTCCGCAATTGCAGACCTCCTGGCCAGCATTGTATCATAGCTTAATACTTGAGATTGAGAATATTACTTGGTTTTTTCCCCAATTAACACAGCACTTATGAAAATATTCTAGTTATTTCCTGCAACTTACTTTCCAGATCATGTGGTCGTCATGCGAAAAGGAGGTTATCCAGTTGCTATAAACATGGAGTCGGCTGAGAAAAAAGAAAGAGTTAAAACAGAGGACATTCTTGTACCACCAGACGCCAAATTGTGAGTGCATTTTGTCAAGATTTTTTCTGAAATGATTGTCTATTGTAATACTTTTGTTTTATTGTGGCACTTACTTAAATGTCAGTACATTATTTCATTTATATTATTGATACAGACTGTAGTGTTAAGGCCGGCACGGCACACACATAGACAGACGGACTCACACAGATGGACATACTAAAATTTGATCCAGATGTTGTCCTGAAAACCGGGAATTGTGCGTACATTTTGATGACAGAGAAAAAATCTGTGAATTTAGTAAAGAACCAGGAAATTTAAATGTTTGAATAGTAGCCAAAAAATCCCCTCGAAATCAGAGATTTTTCTAATGATCACGGAATTGCTGTGATCGCAAGAAATCATCACACATTTTACAGCGATTTTAACATTAGTTCATGGATGTCCGACATCGCAAGAAGTCATGACAGTGTTGCCGCGATTGTGGGAAATCATTGCCGATTTTACCACAATCGCTGGAGATCATCACCGATGTTGCCGCAATCACGGGTATTCATCTCAATTGTTGTGATATACTAGCAGGTTTAATTAGGTAAGTTTTGCTTTTTTGAGCGGCAAATTTTGTCCTGGTAATTTTGAACCTGGAATTGTCCTTACATTTTATTTTGGTGGGACACTGGACACCCTGTAACATACTTGTGACCACTAAACTTGTGTAACCTACTTGTGAGGTACTGTCATTCTGTTCCACATGTGGTTCTGTTTCTTTGGTTAGTGTTTGCATAATTTTCAAAAATCATGGCTGCATAACCAAATACGCCATTTCACAGCACCAAAGTAGTGAAAGCACGAGGTGAAGGAGGGAAGGCATAGTCCGCCTGCTTGCAGAGACGGATTTATACATATTTCCCCCCTAGGCACTATCCTTAGTGCCCCTTCATAGCATTTTTCGTACCTAGGACCGAAAATGAGGTTTTGCCGGCTCGTAGTTTTTTAAGTTCGGGACCAAGTCAAGAGCTGCAAAACCCTTTCGACCCGTGGTACGAACGCCATTATTCACCACACTATACAAAAATGGAGGGTCTTAAGTTGTAATTTTCACACTATAAATGCACATTAACAGTTAACACAACTACAACTTTAAGGTTATGTGAAGAAATACCCTAGAGGAACCAGCAAAAATATACTAATAAATAGTTGCTAGGCAGCGATGACATAAAATGCATATGGATATTGCTTGTATATTTTATTTTGTATACATTGTTTTAAGTAAGTGGTTTTGTGACCCTAGGGCCGTAAAAACCAAATCGGTCCCAATGACGATGACAGCTGCCATTTCGGTCCTGGACAGCAATAACATAGCTTCCAGCCTCCAATTAACGTTTTGTAAAACGGCTAAAAACATCTTAGTGTGGTGAAAAGTAATTATTTTTTAAATATAAACTAAGTCTAACCCATTTAGAGTGTTTATAAAAGAACACTGCAAGTTATTTTTTTTTATTTGAATTACAGTTGAAAAGGTCTTCTATCCCACAAACATTAAAATACGTAATATTGAAATACAGTACTTGAGTTGAATATAAGAAATAACAACTTTGAATTTATATATTTTCACATAAATATCTTTGTAAAGTCTTCATTCTGAGTCCTTACAATGGTTTCCTCCTACTTTTAACCATTGTAAACTCATCTATCTCATCATTGCCCTTTAACTGTCGTTTTCCGTCCCCACCGTGCCGTTGCGGTCGCGCCTACAGTCGGCGGACTATGGCAGCCGTAAGCAGCGCACTCGTAAGTGGCGGCACTGGTAAGCAGCGCACCCGTAAGCGGTGGCACTCGTAAGCGGCAGCACTCATAAGCGGCGGGAAAAACGTAAGGGGTGGCACTCGTAAGCGGTGGCACAAGTAAACGGCGGCATTTGTAAGTTGCGGAAAAACGTAAGGGACGGCACTTGTAAGCGGCAGCAAACATAAGCCGCGGCACCTGTCAAGGGCCTGCTGCCCCTGACGGGTGCCGCCCCTAGGCACTGTCCTAGTGTGCCTAGTGGGAAATCCGTCCCTGCCTGCTTGCAGACTCCTGCGGCTGTGTGCGGTACAATAGTTATTTGTGTAGCTAGTGAGCAAAGTGGGACTTTGTTGCTGTGTTGTTAATTGTTGCTGCACACGAGAGCAACAATTAAGCACAAGCCGCAGGCGAGGTATGTTTCAGGATTCAGGATAGTAGCAGTGTTGTGTGTGCTTTTTAACAATTTATGTTTTCCAACATGTAATGTCTCAGGATAGCAGTGGTAGAGTATATACCCTTCAGTATGTGTGAATGTGACTCCAATTTATGTTATCTAACATGATATTTTTCAGGTTAGCAGTGTTGTAGGGTACCTTTCAGTATGTGTGATTGTTATTAATTTCATTCTTTCATTGATACTAAAGAAGGATTTTCATTTCATTTCATTTCTTACTATTAGGAGGCTGCACTTTAGATTTGTTTACTTCGAGTCAGGTAAAAAAATGTTACATACCTATGAGCCTCGGGCAGGGCCGGATTTAGCATTTTGGCGCCCCTAGGCCCAAATAATTTTTCCGCCCCCTAGTCTAAAAACTATATCATGCCTATAGGCCCATATTAATTGCTTGAACACCACTCCTCGTCGGAATTTTATCATTGCAAGTTTTTTGAAGAATTGTCTTGGTTAGCCTTAACAAAATCCGTCTTGAACACTTTTGTCAATTTTATGCTTATTGCTTTTGGCAAATGCTCACGCTTGTGAGACTGAAACAAAACGATCCAACCCACAGAGCATTCCTGCAAAAAAGCATATCCATTGATTCCGATTTCAGGCCACAAAACATGAACTCCATAACAGTACGTGACACCATTGATAAAACATACATTAGGGATTAGCTGAAAACTATTCTTTTTATTTAAGTTATTTAACACTAGTTTGTCCAAAATAAAACGATGTAATCATAAACAATAGGTCGTCCCATGGTTATATTACAAGAAATTAAAACACACAACATAGAACTATCCCTAAAATAATATAAACAAAATTACGTCAAAAGTAACTTCCAGTGTCACCAACATATGAACTAGACATGAAAAACAATATTTAGAATTAACAATGTGATAAAAAGTCGACTTGAGTTTACGGTTAATCTATGGTAGTACTGCATCCAGATTATATTTGCAAAGCAAAACAAAGCAATAGTCCCGCCAACCATAATTATCCTCAGGTCTAAGCTGAGGAGAAAATTACACCATCAATGGTGATTTGGAGGGGATTTAATTTTTCTAAAACCTGTTGCAAACTCAGATACTGTAAACATTTTTTCGTTATTGAATTTTAAAGATAAACTTATCGTATTTTTAATATTCAACAAAACGTATTATATATTTTAACTTGGCCCTGCAGGTAAACTGATCAAAAGATTTGTAAATATTTTTTTTGTGAGGTGAGGGTGGTAAATGGTAACGGTGTCTATCACGCATGTGCCCCTAATCACTGCGATCAGTAGCACCGAGCCAGCATAGTGGCAGTGAATTAGTGCAACGATGCGTACCGCTCGGGCGCTTGACAACATCTCTACAGCCTACTCCCGTATAACCAATGTTTGTTACCAATGTTGTAACGAAATTGATGCGTAATGTTGTAACAGTTATATAATGCTTTATTGGCAAGAGTTTTTTTTATCAACTCGCAAAATATGTTAAGCTATGGCTATTTATTTGATTTTTAGATATTAACAAATATTTTTCCTCTCGGCCGTGCGCCCTCTGGGAGCTTGCGCCCATAGGCCCGGGCCTAACGGGCCTATTGGGAAATCCGGCCCTGGCCTCGGGCCAAATCAGATCGGTTCAAAATCGGTTTGCTTTGGTAACTGTTGATTTTTATAAAATAATGTTGATTTTCGAGCCGAGCCGAGCAGAGCCTGGCCTACAAGCTTGAGAGATCAAGCACAAAAAAAATCAAGCTTGAGCCAATTTCTCAGTACTCGATACAATAATGCCCAATTAAAAGTAAAAGCTTTTATGTCCGCGAGGATCACGGAGATGAAATTTACGTTTTTGTTGTTATTGCGGATATCGACAAGAGCATTACCCCGCGGGTGACGATGACGATGTCTCCGCGGCCGCAGGAGATGTTCAATTTTTTGCCGCGATTGCCAAAGACGATAATCATGTTTCTTTTTCCGCAGGAGAAATATCTAGAGTTTTGTCGCCATTGCAGAAAAAATGGTTTCCCCATCACCACGGGTCACGGGATATATTAGGGATTGGGCCGTGAACGCGGGAGACGGTGATGTTGTTATCTGATGTCATAGGTTTGGTTGCAATCACGGTAGACTATGATAATGTTTCTTCCATGACTACGGGAAGTATTAAGGATTTTGCCGCGATTGGAAGAAGATGATGACGCCTCGGTGCCTCGGGAGACGCCTTGCCAAGCTAAATTGGAAGTTTAGGTGGTAATACATGTGATAATGTTTTTAAAGATTATTGGGAGAGGGGGGTCCGGTGGAAAAACTTGCGGGGGGGGCCCGCTGGCTCTTATCGCTGCCACTGGTAAGGTACCTTTCTAGTATGTGAGTGTGACTTAAGTTATCCAACATGTAATGTTTCAGGATAGCTGTGTTGTATGTACCCACTTCAATGTGTGCTACGAACAGTGAACGGGTCCGAGGACTGTTCAGAATCCAAGTCAACACCATTGAAGCTCTTGGTATTCCTGTTTGCACCATTCTTCAGCCTCTATGGAAATCACTGCCAGATTTTGAACGTATCCCTTATCTTATGAGAGCCATCAGGGAGAAACTTCCGTCAGATGAGAAGACAACAGTAATTAGTCCATTTTAGTTAAGTATAGAAATTAATAGGTACTGTAAAACATGTTGTGTATAAATAATGTAATAAATAACCATGGTAATGAAAATTGTATTTCCCTCAACTAATACATTGCATTCTAAAATATTTAAATGGCATTCCAGATGCATTTAACACTAATACCGAGACTCTACTTCGGCTGACGTTAACCGAAACCCCCGGTCTGTGAGACCCCGCTTTAAAATACACTTTAAAATAACGCTGAGCTTCTGAGACAGACATGTTATGAACAGGCAACCTGTCAAGGTCACGGCACCCATGCAATATGAACAAACAATATATCAATAGGTAGGGGAGGAAAAGGGGGAAGGTATTGGGGGAATGGAATCTCCCAAGTAAACAGTGTTGCCAACATGTGTTTTTGAAAATTCCTGTGGGCCTGTCAGACCGGGGTTTCGGTATTAGTGTTAATTAAATTCAAAAGTTCTGTATTCATTATTTGTGACGACACTCCAGTCTTTGTCCTGTAAGATGTTAAGAGTGAAATGGTTATTTTTGTAACTAGTGGGCGAAATGGCAGCAAAGGCAGTTTGTACTCATGTTACACATTATATTTGTCCTCCTAGAGTTACTATCTATATATATAAAATCCAATGTATGTTTGTTTGTTTATTTGTTTGTCCTTTGTGGACTCCGAAACCGCTCGACAGATTGTAATGAAACTTTCAGGCATCTTATCTTATCTTATCTAACAGGGGCAGGTCGAGACCATAAAGCACTTCATCCGAAATTGAATTATTGCGCACCCCAGACAATTGCTTTCTTGTTGACCTACAAGTTAAGGCGCCCAATGAATGCCTGTAGCTTCCCAATTAGTTCATCCTCAGGAAGGTATTTACCTCTAGCCATATTTCCAAGAGTTATCAATCTAGCGTCAGAGAGCTCGTTACAATCAAAGAGTAAGTGATCAGCTGTCTCTTCTGACCTATCACAGTACCTACAGATCGGTTCACCATCATATAAGCCCATCCGTTGTAAATGTTTCCTGAATCTTCAATGGCCAGTTATCAGTTCAACAGTTAATTTAATTCTTCGTCTGTCTAGTCTCAAGAGGTCAGAGGCGACCTTTTTAGAAGGCCTAAACAGAGTAAGCTTGCTGACCCTAAGAAGGGGAACATCGACCCAGCGTTTGCGATGCTTTTCCTTGGCCCATGACGCAATCGAAGAACATGCACTGTTTCGTGAGATGCCTCAGAAGGGTTGTGGGCCTATCATTGATGTCGCAGAGGCAGTATTTGCCAATCTGTCTGCAGCTTCATTACCTTTAATGCCTGAGTGTCCTGGCACCCAGCAAAGCGTAAGGTCATTTCTCCTACCCAACTCAGACACAGAAGCAAGACAGTCCCACACGAGCCTGGAGTTGAATTCGTAAGAGTTTAATGCTTTTAAGGTCGCTTGGCTATCAGTATAGATATTGATTGTTTTGTCTCTGATATCTTTGTTAAGATGGTCTCGAGCACAAACCAGAATGGCAGTGACCTCTGCTTGAAAAACAGTTGGGTACACCCCCATTGGAAGACAAATGCCAGTGCCTCCTTTCTCCAATGCACACCTGCTCCAGTGCCCCCATTTTTGATCTTAGAACCATCAGTATAGCATTCTAAATCACCTGCGGGTATGGGTCCTTTTCCGCCAGACCAATCCTTCCTATCTGGTATTAGTACTTTGAAAGGCTTTCCAAAGGAGTATTTTTTGGACATGTGATCTGAAGGCAAGTCCAATTCATCATTATGTACCACCTGAACAATTTTGGAGTGCCCTTTATTGTTTCCTGAGGTTATCCATAAGTTTTCGCATCTAAGGCGTTGGGCTGTTTTACTTGCTACCACCTTGATGTAAATGTCGATAGGTAGCATATCAAGCAGACAGTCTAGAGCCGCTCCAGGACAGCTGCTTACTGCCCCAGTTATCATTATAAGAGCAAGCCTCTGAACTCCTGCTAAAGCTTTGACAGCTATAGTAGATTCCATCTTTGGCCACCACACAAGCGAACCATAAGTAAGGGCGGGTCGAACAACAGATACATACAGCCAGTGCAAAAGTTTAGGCTGTAACCCCCATGTGCCACTTACCATCCGCCTGCATGCCATAAGGGACCATTTGCCACGCTGAGTGACTTTTTGAAGATGTGGTCCCCAGTGAAGTGATCTGTCCAAAATTACACCCAGATACTTCACCTGATTCTGCAGCTCTGTTACAGTGCCCTGCAGTCTTAGTGGACCGATCCCATCCAGTTTCCTCCTTCTTGTGAAGGGTACCATTACAACTTTCCTGGGACTCCTGGGAGCCCAACTTCCTGGCACCAACGGTCCACTACCCTTAAAGCTCTATTCATAAGGTCAGTTATGGTTCCGTGGAACTTTCCAACCACAAGGATTGCAACATCATCAGCGTAACCTAAGGCGAAAACCCCACTTTCATTGAGGGTCCTTATAAGGTCATCTGCTACCAAATTCCAAAGGAGGGGAGAGAGAACCCCCCCCCCCTGAGGGCATCCTCGAGTAGTTCTTGCCTCGATCGTGTCATTATGGAGTGAGAGCCTAACCTTCCTACTGTGAAGCAAGGATTCAATCCATCTACATATTATACCGTGAAAACCTCTTGCTCTCACCGCATTAAGAATCGCTGGAGTACCAGTATTATCAAAAGCACCTTGAATATCGAGAAAGGCACCCAGGGCCACTTCACTGCTCTCTAGAGCTTTCTCAATCTTGCTTACAAGTTGGTGCAACGCAGTCTCGCATGATCTTCCTGAGACATACGCATGCTGATTATTATGAATAGGATGTGTCCTGAGAGCTGTATCCATCATATATCTTGAGACAAACTTTTCTAGGATCTTAAGGAAGAAAGAAGATAGAGAAATGGGTCTAAATGACTTAGGATCAGTGTAACTATCCCTCCCTGGTTTAGGAATAAATGTGATACGCGAATTACACCACCCTAAGGGAATGTGACCTAAGGCTAAGCTAGCTCTGAAAAGTTTACAGAGTGGGTGTATAATTGTGTCAAGACCCTCCTGCAAACAAACAGGTCTTACCTCATCAGGACCCGGCGATTTGAAGGGTCGTAATAAGCCAACAGCCCATCTTACCTTGCTGAAGGTGACTATGCGGCAAGCAGTGCTCCACTTAGAATGAGTGGCACGACGGCCCAGATTAGGCCGCTCTGGACTCACCTCCTCCTGCTGCACTTCAGAAACAATACAACCAGGGAAATGAGTTTTTACCATAACCTTTAGTATTTCGGTAGGTTCAAAAGCCATTACACCATCCGGTCCCTCAACAGCACCAAGAGTAACATGCCTGTCTCTAACAAGTAACTTATGTATTCTAGAAGTATCCTTGATACTTTCTAAATTTCCACAAAAAAAATCCATGAAAGCCTTTTAGCCTTTCGTACTGCATGGTTATATTCTGTGAGAACAGTATGTTATATATCCCAATTATTACTTTTCTTAGCTCGCCTAAAGTGGGCCCTTACTCTCTTCCTAAGAGAGGCAAGTTCGGGACCCCACCAGCTGGCCCTATTGCTCTTGCCCTTACGCAAAGGACAACTATCCTCAAAGGATGTAACTAAACACCTAGTTAGACAATCTGCCGCCTCGTCAAGCGCATCAACTGTGTTTATAGGAGATGTGTTCAGATTTGAGGCAATCCTGCCCCGAAGATCAGCTCTGAAGGATGCCCAGTCGGTTTTAACTGGGCTCCTGAATAAGCGAACCTCGCCGCAGAAATTCCCCAACCTGAAGACAATGTGCCTATGATCAAACAGGGATGGCTCAAGGGACACTGACCAGTCAATAATCCTGTCAGCCATACCCGCTGAACACAGGGTAAGATCAATTACTGATTGGCCTATCCTGCTTAAAAAAGTTGGTTCTAAGCCTACGTTTGCAACAAGTAGGCCGCAAGAAGCTAGGTACTCTAGAAGTGACCTACCTCGGTTGTTGGTGTCCCTGCATCCCCAGGCTGTATTATGGGCATTGGAGTCGCAGCCTATCACAAGTTCGGATCCAGACTCATGTGCGAGGTCGACCAATCTTTTAAAACTATTATGTTAAAATATTATTCAAAAATTTAAAAAATAATATTAAAATATATAAAATATTTTTAAGATGGATATATATTTTTAAAATATTTATAAAATATCCTTGTGCTGTCTGGGACTTTTTCAAATTGTAAATAAATCAAATAAAATTCTTTTTCCTAAAGTCACACGACAAAGTTGGCTGCTGATCTATCGAAATTGTGTTTATTTATTCGTTGGTTCTTTTCATCCAGTAGATCTATGGAACATAATAATTATTCTCTTTCGTTGCGAAGCACGGATATGGCCGCTTGTTTTACAAATGGGTACAATGTATATAATTTTTTTATCAGAATTTATTTTACAATCTGTTCAAATATGAGAACAATAAGTAAAACATATATCAAAAAAACAATGTCAGGAAGCAAGCACCTGTTCATCAACAAGTCTTGCCAAAAATTGGATTAATCATTTAAATATTTACAGAAATCTGTAGCTTAGGTCCAGCACATGCACAACACTTTTTAATCTGGTAATGCACTGACTATTGTCCAGCAGATTAACAGCAAGACTGTTCGGATGATATTGTTATGCCTGACATGGCCGAGTATATAGTGTGATAACTGAACATCAGGAATTATAGAAAAGAACGATAATCTCTTACATGTTTTTAATTGTTCACAAAATAGAATATGACAAATACATTGCAATAAAAACTGAGTTACCAAAACTTAAGATTTAATTTTATACCAGTGGATTCATCTCTAAAAGGATAGAAATTTTACAAGTCTCAAAATTAAACAAGAGAGAGAATGATTGGAGAGTTTGGAGAGAGAACTACTTACTAGATCGAAGTCTGATGTGAGAATGACATGTAAACCTCATCTAGGAGAGTCCGTCGATGGGATCCCCCACTACAATTATTTTATTAATAAAATATTCCTTATAAGGAGAATCCTTGAAAAGGATTGCTCTGATTGGTCATGGCTTTCCCAAACAGTGGGGAGGCCTCACAGGAAACTGGACTTCCTCTGTACTAGCGCGTGTCATGAGATAACTGAATCTAGGCTTTTAATAATTTTGTCAAAACAAAGAAAAACTCAAATATACTTATGGTAGTTTTGAAATTAAAATCAATTTTGAATTATTAAAAATAATAATTTAGTTACTCAAATACAATTATAATTAAGGTACTATTGCTCATCATTACAATATTCTAATTTTTCTTGATAATCTTTGCTAAGGTCTGTAATTTCTTCTTTCACTGATTTAATTTTGAAGTCATTCCTAATTGTAGTGTTGGATACGAACCAGGGTGCGCCAATAATTCTTCTCAGTGCCTTAGCCTGAAATCGTTCAAGAATTTCGATGTTGGATTTGCTCGAGGTCCCCCAAAGTTGAATTCCGTATGTCCAAATTGGGTTGATCATAACTTTATACAGTAAAATTTTGTTAGCCAATGATAATTTTGCATTCGTACCTAGTAGCCAATTGAGTTTACGAAGTTTTAATTCCATTTGCTGTCTCTTGCACCAGATATGAGATTTCCAATTTAATTTTTTGTCAAGAGTAGACCTAAATATTTTACACTGTCTGCCTCCGTTAAGGCTACATTATTAATTGTTACTGGAGGATTGTACCCTGTTCTCAGAGTAAAAACAATATGTTTGGACTTGTTTTCGTTGACTTTTATCCTCCACTTTTTAAGCCAATATTGGAGCTCAGTCAAGGCAGCTTGTAGATTTATGTAAGCGACTTGAGGGTCCACATGACTCGACAACAGTGCGGTGTCATCAGCAAACGTAGCAACTGTGATGTTGGGGACCATAGGGATGTCTGCTGTATATATCAAATATAGCAAGGGACCAAGAACACTCCCCTGAGGTACTCCAGACTGTATCGGCTTCAGATCAGATAACGAATTATCGAATTTTATTTGAAAATATCGATTGGTCAGATATGATTTCAGAAGGTTATACCAAGAGTGAGGGAGAGAGGTTTTGAGTTTAAACAGAAGTCCGACATGCCACACCTTGTCAAACGCCTGTTGGACATCCAAAAATGCAGCAGAATAGTACTGTTTTTTTCTCAAATGTGTTTTTTATAATATCCACTAATCGGTGAGTTTGTTGAATGGTTGAATGTTGTTTGCGGAAGCCGAACTGATGATCTGGTATTAAGTTTAATTCATCAACAGTGGGGGTTAACCTTTTAAGTATTACCTTTTCAAACAACTTTGATACTATAGGAAGCAAGCTTATGGGTCTGTAAGAAGATGCGTCATTAGGTGGTTTGCCTGGTTTTGGGATAACAACTATTTGCAACAACATCGATAACAATCGTAACATAGCATTAAATATAAATGTCAACAACATAATGCCTTTACGGGGTAGTTCTCTTAAAATTTTTCCAGTGATAAGATCGTACCCAGGACTTTTCAAGGGGTTGATTTCCTTAAAAATTATTCTTGAAACCTCTGAAGGAGTGCAAGATTTTATAGGCAGTGACAACTGATTTGGTGCATCCAAAAATTCGTAAATTTCACTTTCCTCATTTGGGGGATTCGGAGTAACAGGCTTAAATACATCAGAAAAGTAATCTTCAAAAACCTTCGCTTTTTCTTCAGGGGTTTTAGCCCAGGACCCGTCAGGTTTCCGAATTGGAGGTACATGTTGAACTGGACGTTTAATATATTTAGTAGACTTCCAAAGAGAATACTCGGTTACTTCAGTTGGGGTTAGATTTTTCGTAAAATCGTCAAACCATGTATATTTTTCAGTTCCACTAAACATCATTTTAATTTCTGAGCTGCACGATTTAGACGAGTTTTATCAAGAGATATAATAAAAGGGGTTTGTTTATTTCAAGCTGATAAACTCGGATACCACTTGAATATTTGCAACAAAACTTGGTAGGACTACTTAACGTGTTCGTTGTAGTAGACCCTAGGTTTATGGACATTCCATTTGATGATAGTTTCAAAGTTTAGTTTCAGCACAATTATAAAACACTAATTCAACTATTTTTGAAGAAGTTAAAAAATGCTGTATACTTCATGGAAATTAAGGACAGCTGATGTCAAATTTGGATGATCAATGGTTTTAGTGTATTTGGTATTATGAGGCATAAAAAGTCTACCGGGGTTACCTAGTACTTTATAGATGACATCTATAGTGGTTCAGGTAGTATATGTACAATTACCGAAACATTCAAAACAAATTAAGTTGGTCTTATGTGAGGTAAAAAAATACATTAATGTACCATTGGACATTTTGTAATGTTGGAGATTTTGGAAAAAATCAGTGACGTTGGTACATAACTTAGATTTTAGTTTAAACCAACCATTGCCTCCTCTCAGCATACAAAAGTGTCAGTGATAAAATGACTAACAAAATACTAAAAGCTTT